AGCAGTATAATACAGTCTTGTATACTGTATTACAGTACTATGTAATACATGATTGTCAACTGCAATACTACATGATGCACGTAACGATCAGACAGGATCGTAGCTAATCGTTCCGCACAATCTCAGAAATGTCAGAAAATACAGGTCGAGCACAGCCTAACCATACAACAACATAAAAATCATAACCGATCCTGGCATAACCTTTGCAGTCTGATACAACATAGTGTATCGAAAATGGAAAACATGTCTTTTTCACCATGTGTATATACATATGTATATATACGTATATACCCATACCGATACATATTCGTGTATACATGAAAATATGTATGTATGTATGTATGTATGTATGCATGCGCACACACGCACACACACACACACACTGTATCGATGGAGCACCTGTGGTTCCCGTGCCGAAATGCCGTAGGGCTCTTGTTCGATCTTCAACAGGCAACTGCAGCTCCTTGAAACCCAACCAGCAGCCAAGTAAACGGTCGACTTTACGGAGCAGGGCCTTCCACCTCCACTGCACGCTGCATGTGCCTGGCAGACGGAGGCTTCAGCAGAATTGCTTCAAGCCTCGGAGCGAAGGGCCCAACCATACTTTCTGCCCTCTGGCAATGCCCTGCACACGCACACAAGTCAGATAGATAGAGCTGTCTCATCATATAAGTGGTCATGCAAGTCGGTATGTATATATATATATATATATATATATGTATGTCTGTATGTATGTGTGCATGCATGGGTGTGTGTACGTATGTATGTATGTATGTACGAGTGTGTATACATGTATGTAGCAGTCACAGCCGTACGTACATACATACTTACAGCATGCACATAGACGTACATACACATAAATGTACAGATACACATACACACACGTACGTACGTGCGTACATGGATTCATGCCTACATGCACGTGTGTATGTCTGCGGGTCTGTGAGTGTGTGCGTGTTTAAGACCTTGTCTTGTTGCCTGTCGTTTTGTATCTGCCAGTCTATATGCACGTATCTGCAATCGTGCTGTGTAATTGTATATGTACATACGATACATTATATACATATGGGTGGTTGTCAAAATTAGAGTCCCTTTGTAGGTCCTTATTTTAATACGGCACCTGATATGTAGGGTACCCATACAGGGACCCTAATTTTGACAACTACCCATATATATATATATATATAGCATCGACTGTTTGGTGCGGGTTTCCGACGAAGCCAGTCCCGATCAACTACGAAGACGGCTACTGGAAGAGCATCGCAGATGAAGTCTTCTTGGGACCTTCCTAACCCGGAAACCTATAATGTGGGTGTCGGTTTAATAGTTGGGTACCCCCCCCCCCAACCAAAAAAAAAAATTCTATTTAATATGAAGCCGGGGGTCAGGGGTCTGAGTGGCAGGGAATTGGGAGGTGCCGGGGTTTGGGGGCTGGCTTGGGTGCAGGGTCTGCGGTTCTGCGCGAATGCGCGGTCGGGGGTCGGGGGGGTCTGGGGATCACCAAATGCTGGAAACCAAGCCCCGATCACTCCAAGATTACTACCAAGACTGAAAACCCTTCGTTTTGAACACTTTTAGCCTCCGTAACCTACACTCCCGCACTCCCACCCACAAATCGATCACGTCTGAAGCTTGGTGCGGTACAATAATAGTACAGAATTACAATAGTAGCACAATAGTAGTACAGTAGTAGTACAGTAGCAGTACGATAATAGTGCCGTAGTACAATAGTAGTACAGTAGTAGTACAGTAGTAGTACAATAATAGTGCAGTAGTACAATAGTGACACAACAGTAGTTTAGTACAGTGGTAGTACCATAGTAGTACAGTAGTAGTACAATAATAGTACAGTAGTACAATAGTAGCACAATAGTAGTACAGTAGTAGTACAGTAGTAGTACGATTATAGTACCGTAGTACAATAGTAGTACAGTAGTAGTACAATAATAATGCAGTAGTACAATAGCAATACAACAGTAGTACAGTGGTAGTACAATAGTAGTACAGTAGTAGTACGATAATAACAGTACAGTAGTACAATAGTAGTACAATAGTAGTACAGTAGTACACTAGTAGTACAGTAGTAGTACGACAGTAGTACAGTAGTACAGTAGTAATACAGTAATAGTACAGAAATAGTACCAATAAGCAAAGCATAAAGCCAGTGAGCACATTCCCCCAATAAGCAAAGCATAAAGCCAGCGCCTGAAACCCTAAACCCTAAAACCTGAACCATAAACCCTAACAAACCCTAAACCCTAACGAATCCTAAACTCCTAAACCCTAACAAACCCTAAACCCTGAGCCCTAAACCCTTCCAAAAGGGGGGTCGGTCCAGATTGGACCCAAAATTGAATTTTTTAAAAAACTTTAGTACTGGAGAGGCCTTTGTCCAGCGAGGGTCCAATTCCCAATTCGGCGGTTCACCCTAGCAGCCCCCCCAATAAGCAAGGCATACAGTAGCAGTACAATAGTACAATAGTAGTACAGTAGTAGTACAGAGTCTCATTCCTGACGCCCCAATAAGCGAAACAATTCTGCAAGAGATTTTCGGGCTTCAGGGCCAGGGTTTTAGGGTTGGGTGGGGGTTTGGGTGGGGGTTTAGGTCGTGGCTGCCTTAAGATTGACCATCAGCAAATAGCACAGCCCCGCCACCAAAAAATCACCCCAGCCAAAAAAAAAACGCATTAATTAGAACACCCAAATTTTTGGTAAGATTCGGAATTAGCCCCGGAGCCGACGCATTAAAGGAGCCTATATTCCTAAACCGACACCCACATTAAACCAGACATTTTTGTTGGATTGTCTGGTTACAGGGCATGAAGTTTCAAGCCACAGTCGCTTCAATAGAATAGGGTCAACAACTGAGACATGTTAGCAGCACAGCAGCTACGGTAGCAATAACATGCAAGATCGTCATCGTGGCAACAACATCACTGTCACCATCTTCGAACTAAGGGGCCCTTCATGATCCGGCCAGCTTGCACGATTTTTGGCAGGGTGGTGTTTCGCATCCTGCAGTAGCCGAAAGGCACCCGTGGCACCGGAAGGGCATGGCTCTTGGGACTCGGATACGGTTTGGTGTGAAAGAGGAAGAGCGAGAGAGAGAGAGAGAGAGAGAGAGAGGGGGAGTCAGCCTTGTATAGGCTTAGTGCGAACTCTCTCAACTTGCGTTCTGCTCCATGCAACGCGCCCTCGCCTGCTGTTGCTTTCTTTCTAGGGGCAAAGCAATCTGCATGCCAACTCCTCAAGAAGGCCATGAGCCTCCGTAGTCGGACAGTCGGACTCCATTGTGTTGAAGCTTTCAAGAGGCATACATATTGTGGCAGATTAAGTTATCAACCGAACCATATGTCCGACGAAAGCCTCAAGGCTGAAGATGCCCAGTGCCACATACGCTGAAGGTGGGAATTCAACCCGTGCTTCCGGCAAGACGCGAGAAAGCAAAGCTGTGCTCCTCTCACGATGCAAGATTGCGTTTGTAGACACGTAGGGACCGGAGAGGTATCCAGGCTGCAGGATCTACTGCTAAGGAGCTGGACAGTCAATGGCCGGACTTTGCAGCCTCCCGATACATCATGAAGCGCTTAGACTTACACAGCTACCAGGATGTCTTCGGGTCTGTTATATGGCTGAATGCAGCGAGGGAGGCTACTTTCAACTGCCCTGGTACACTATGGTTGCGACGAAAATTTGAGATAACTCTGATGCCCTGGAACGACTTCGCACACAACCCGCTGCAAGGTTGATCTGTCGTAGTTACGCGGCAGCCATCGTGGCTCAGTTTCATCTCAACTCACGCCTCTGCGTGCTCCCTGGATAGCGACGCTGAGCAGAAGACATGTGGTGATTCTGCACCTCTCTCAACGAAAACCAAATATTCGTCGGCCCTAACGTATCACCTAGAAACCAAAGCAACCCGGTATCTGTGTTGCCTCATCTCGTGATTGTTTATTCCAGCCGTTGCCACTGGTTTGCTATCAACCTGCTTTTGTCCATGCCTCATACAATTACATCTCGTGGCTTGCAGCAGCCTGCCTCAGGGTTCGGCGAAGAGCCGCGCACCGTTTTCGGATTCAGCGCCAAATTACACTGAACTATAGTCCTGGGGTATCAGTATGCAGCACGCTGTCTGCTTGCCGTCACCTGCATGCGCTCCGGGCCTGCGTACTTGCCTATTCTGAACCGGAAGCTTCCCCATTCTTGCGAGAAGTATGTGGTTCTCGTGCGGTCCTGTGTGGAAAGACAGGTTGGTTGCGGCGATAGGGCGCTGAGCTGCAGAGTGCAAGGCTCTAGCATCATGATGACAGATGCATGGTGATTGCATAAGGAACTGGAGCTTTCGTCATCCGACTGCCGCCTTCTTTGGCGAAGAGAAGCAACTTTGCGACCTATATCGCCACCTGGCTGACAGTCTATCCCGGGCGTTGCTTGGAAGTTCAAGCCGAGCCCTTCTCCAACCCACAGTGTTGGCAATCGCTTCGCTGTCAGCTCCAGACCACAAGTAAAAGTCGGAGAGAAGCAGCAAACCCCGCGAACGTCTGGGGCTGCCCCCATTTAGTCCGTGAGCGCTGGCATCGTTCTCACCAATCCCGAAGCTTTGTCTAAGCACTGGAAGTCCTGGAGGTCGAGGGCTCGGGAATCCCACCGCCGGCCCCGTTGAAGTGCCCGCTGCCGTCTGTCAAGGGGCCTCTGCGCGGCCGGCATGTTGATTTCTTGGTGAGCTTTCGCCACCAACGATTCATTGATGGGGTTCTTGATCTGCCCAGCCAACCAGAAGCTGCTGAGGTTTTGAGTTTGTCTTTTAGTACAAACTTGCGAGACAAGGTGCCCCAGGATACTTGTTTGGACTGTTTGGAAGCCTGCCACTCCACAACCTAAATCAGTGTCGCGGGCTGGGAAACAACGACCGCAACCGGAGGGCATGCAGTCATCAAAGCCTGGGGCGCAGAAGTTTCGCCGAGCTTGTGCAATGCAGGCGGCTTGCGCAGGAGGCCCCAATGCTACGCCTTGCTGCTGGGGCCTCGGATCAGAATGTTGCAGGAGACCACAAAGGCCCAAATTCCTAAACCCTTGCAAAGCTTTAAGAAGCTAGTCATTTTACAGACGGGCATGTAGTCATAGTCGCCGTAGCCGAGTGCGGAACACATGAGCTATGTTCTTCAGTTCTTCACGCTAGAGCTTAGCTCGCCTTGGGCAGTGGCCGCCTCCTGCGCGAACCGAACTTTCAAGAAAGAAACACCACGTTTTTGTGCCGAGCATGTCGCGACCACTGGCTGGATTTGTACCTCCGCACATGACCAGCAACGATACTCAACTTTGAAGCCCAAGAATGACGGCCTCATCATAATATGCCCCTTTCCCTGCCATCATCCTCCAGGTCTGTGCCAGCTTGGTCTCCGTGGTTTTTGCTGACCTTCCGGTGGCTCGACATGAGCGAAATCTTGCAAGGCTTAGCTGCTGAACCTTCTGCAAATGCATTTCACGTAAAGACCTATTGGTTTCGCTGGATAGATGTAAGCCCCTGGAAACATGTAAACCTCTGGAAACCACGATGCCATACACAACGCCAACGCCCCCGGCCTAACGAACGCGCCCGTGAATTCAAGGTCCACTGCTTGCGTCACCAGATTGCTGGCCATTGGGAGCTCCACAGAGGACCTGCTGGGCCAAGGCAAGCCCGATATACCTCAGAGTAGATTGTCGTGCAGCCACGGCGTAGCAGACAGTGTGTTTTGTGGCAAGGAGCATACAGCAAGCAGCATCGGGTTCTGACATGTGATTTGCAGCGTTGCCTGGCCCTAGCCTTTCGCTGGTCCAGATGATTTGATTTCTTCTCTGCTGGCTGGGGTTTCTGGCTTGTCACTTTGATATCAGTGCGAGCTGCATCTGGTGATGTGGCACCAGTTTCACAGCTCTTGAACTTGGGCATAGCAGCACTCTCAAAGGCTTGGGCATCGCCGTGCCGTCTGTCAATCGGGTTCCGACAGGTGATTCAAAGGGTGGCAGTACTTGCAATACGGCATCATGGGACGGCACCCACCGGGGATGAAGGCTACGAGCAATGACAGTGCAAGGGCTCAACTGTCTAGGCTTTTGGTTGTGAAATTTGCATCGAATTCGAGAGTTTCTCGAGTGAAGATAGCTGCTAAAGGGCTTGTCGCCAGCCTAATTGGTTCTGACGACCGACAGAGTCAGACGGCCTTTCGATAAGCGCCAACCAGATCCTTTCCATGCAGAATGCATATATGGGGGTTGTTCTAAATTATGGTCCGTTTTTGGGATACCCTATAGTAGTATAGTCCTTATTATATAGGGTACCCAAAAAGGGACCATAATTTAGAACAGCCCCCATATAGGCATTGAGTTGCAGCTGCGATCAGAAGCCGCGAGGCCCCCCGAAATTCGATGCCCACGCAGCCGATTGCAAACCATATATCCCAAAGGGTCCAAGTATCATCATGGTATATACTCAGACCCCCAAACTACCCTATAAGTATATATACCATAGTGATTCTTGGACCCTTTGGGTATAAACCTGGACTCGTGGCCTGGGGCCCGGAAGGCGCAGTTCCTGCGGACACCAGCTTCCGGACGACGAGGACCCGAGACCGGAGCTGTGAACTTCCTGGCCTTCCAGAGACTTTAAGGGATCCTCCTTAGGGTTCCTTTAAAGGGATCCCTATAAGGATTTCTATAAGGGATCGATCCTTTAAAGGGAACTCCAGAAAGTTGGAATATGGTTTCAGGGTAGGATACCCTATACTTTACCATAAAGGGTTTAGGATAATCATATTCCAAGTTTCTGGCTTTTACTTTAAAGCCGATGCAGCCCCAATGAACCACGAAGACCCAGCTTCCCAACAGCGCATCTGAGAGTACCTGTATGCTTCAAGCTTGAGCAAAGATCCCCAGGCCTCCCAGCCGCCGGTGCAGCTACCGGAAGTGGCCGAGACCATCTTGGCAGCTCGGCGAGTGCATTGACCCGTTGCGTGGTGCAGCACATCCGTTGTGACTTAAGGGCTTGTTTTATAGCTACTTTGTGCTCGGGGCCAATGCCAAAGGCATGAGGACTGTAGGCTGCTTCTGTGAGGCTCAGTCCGCACGCTGCAGCTTCAAACCTTCAATGATGCTGATTCTAAGACTCCCCAGAGCGGTGGTGCGGAATCCTCAGTCGAAAGCATCCCTGGAGTCGATGTGCCAGCCCCGCAGCTTGAACTCTCACCGAATCCCTCTTGTCTGCAACAGCGGAGCAAAATCCAAGGTTGAACTGAAGAACCCCAACGTGGCCGTCACCAACCAGACCGGCAATGGACGTTGGCGACTAGCTCTAGATTTGTCGCAGTCCGCCACAAAGCAAGACGATTCTAGATTCTGACGCGCATCTTGAAGGGAGAGTTGGGCTTCAACGCTTGAACCACTGCAAATGCCCCCAGCTGCACACTCCGGCCTTCTTGAAACTCCGAGCTCCGAAAGGTGTGCAGTTTGCCAACCGTTTCTCCGACAACAGGTGTTTGGTCAGTTCGTCAGTTCCTTCTGATGGGCGTTTCCGTCCACTGTCTGCGGGTAAGACAGCTCTCAAACCTCAGCCCGTGTCAGCCAGAGCCAATACTAGCAACAAACACGTACTTTGCTTATTCCCCCTAGCTCGAAGCAGAGCAAGGACGATGATCTACGATGAGGCCATGGAGGTCAACGTGAACGGCTACTCTTTCCTAGCATTCCACAAGTTTGAGCTCCTTGGCAGGTTTGGGGTTTCAGATTTGGCGTTGCGCCTGGATCATGTTAGGTTTCATCTTCACTGTCGGTCGATTCCGATTGATGCAGCAGTCCTTGGGTGGGTGCGAGGCTCTTCCAGAGAGACGGTCTGAAGCAGAACGTCTCTCACTGCGGCGAGACTGGGTTGAACAATAAGTATCCCCCACGGTTCCAAGGCCGTGGTAAGGTTGGGGACCAGGCTTCGGGGTTACGGCCAGGGCCTAAGGGGGCGCAGACTTATGACTTAATGTTGGTGTCCCAGCCTCAGTCGCGCTGGACTCCCAAGTGCGCAGGGCGACGTCTTGTCTTGCTGTTTTCAGCCTTGCCAGCCCCAGGAGACACAGCTTGGCTGGTACCACGACGATGCCCGTTCCCTGTCCCTGACCTTCCTCTTCGGAGGGTTGTTGCGACAGACGTCTCAGCCTTCCGAAAGCGCAGTAGAGGAATTAAGCCTTTCGAGGTAGGGACGTGAACTTGTGGTTCTTTCGAGAGGCCGTGGAGGCTTAGGATCTTCTGACAGCTAATCAATACATGTTTGCAGACTCTTCTTAACTGACAGGCTTGAGGACTCGAAGCTTTCGGCTTGTTTTAGGGTGTTTGTGTCCGCAGGGAGGCCTTTCGCGACGGTTCAGAACCCGGGACTTTGGAGCTGTGGGTGCGAGTCTGGTAAACTTGAAAATGCAGCTTCTCTGAAACAGCGAAGGGCTAACGCGCTCCTCCGGGCTCTGGAACACCGAGCTCTATAGATCCAGTGCACCGTGAATGTCCCGGTGCACACAAACCTCCCAACTTTGAAGCCCCCGAACCCCGAAGCATCCTCCTAATCCAAGCCAGACTAAGATAATGCAGCTTATAACTACAATAAAATGGGCCCCAAAACCCTATCTTCCAATCATTTAAAAATTGTTGTGAAGCCGAAGCCAAGGCACCTCTTGGGGCTGCTTCTACGCCCGCAAAGTCCGGTCAAGGGAGGACGAGGAGGCAGCGAAGGCCGATCTGATCTGGGCGTTGCAGAACATAATAGAAATACTTAATTATAAGGATACGAAGAGGAACAAGAGCATTCATAGCAATAGAAGTAGGCGCAGCAGTAGCAGCAGTCACAGCATGAGCCGAGTCCCCAGCATCTTGCCGTTGGCGAGGGTTGGGTCTAAGAGTTGCCTTCTCAGTTCTATGCGTGTGCCACGTTCATGTCGGTTTGAGCTCTTGCCTGTGTCAGCACATTTACGGACATGTTACAATTTTCGCAACGTGTGTAATGGATCTACCATATATGCCGTATGCTATGTATGTTATGTGTGTTGTGTTCTCAATGTATGCATTGCATGCAATGTATGTAAAGGCGTGATATATCTATATGTGTATATATGTATGAATTGTATGTATATGTGTTTGACATGTGTGTATGCATGTGTGCATGCATGCACGCATACCTGCATGCTTGCATGTATGCACGTGTATAAGTATGTGCGTACGTACGCAGCTACGTATGCGTGTGTGCGCTCGCGCGCATGCGTGTGCGTGTAGTGTGCGTGAGCGTGTGCGCGTGCGCGCGTGCGCGTGCGCGTGCGCGGGCGCGTGCGCGGGCGCGTGCGCGTGCGTGCTTGCGTGCTTGCGTGCTTGCGTGCTTGCGTGCTTCTGTGTCTGTGTGTCTGTGTGTCTGTGTGTCTGTGTGTCTGTGTCTGTGTCTGTGTGTGTGTGTGTGTGTGTGTCTGTGTGTGTGTGTGTGTCTGTGTGTCTGTGTGTCTGTGTGTCTGTGTGTCTCTGTGTCTCTGTGTCTCTGTGTCTCTGTGTCTCTGTGTCTCTGTGTCGCTGTGTCTGTGTCTGTGTCTGTGTGTGTCTGTGTGTGTCTTTGTGTGTGTGTGTCTGTGTGTGTGTGTGCTGTGTGTGTGTGTGTGTCTGTGTGTGTGTGTGTGTGTGTGTCTGTGTGTGTGTGTGTGTGTGTCTGTGTGTGTGTGTGTGTGTGTGTGTGTGTGTGTGTGTGTGTGTGTGTGTGTGTGTGTCTGTGTGTGTGTGTGTGTCTCTGTGTGTGTGTGTTGTGTGTGTGTGTGTGTGTGTGTGTGTGTGTGTGTGTGTGTGTGTGTGTGTGTGTGTGTGTGTGTGTGTGTGTGTGTGTGTGTGTGTGTGTGTGTGTGTGTGTGTGTGTGTGTGTGTGTGTGTGTGTGTGTGTGTGTGTGTGTGTGTGTGTGTGTGTGTGTGTGTGTGTGTGTGTGTGTGTGTGTGTGTGTGTGTGTGTGTGTGTGTGTGTGTGTGTGTGTGTGTGTGTGTGTGTGTGTGTGTGTGTGTGCGTGGGCGTGGGCGTGGGCGTGGGCGTTTGCGTGTCTGCGTGTCTGCGTGTGTCTGCGTGTGTCTGCGTGTGTCTGCGTGTGTCTGCGTGTGTCTGCGTGTGTCTGCGTGTGTCTGCGTGTGTCTGCGTGTGTCTGCGTTTGTCTGCGTTTGTCTGCGTGTGTGTCTGCGTGTGTGTCTGCGTGTGTGTCTGCGTGTGTGTCTGCGTGTGTGTCTGCGTGTGTGTCTGCGTGTGTGTCTGCGTGTGTGTGTCTGCGTGTGTGTCTGCGTGTGTCTGTGTGTGTGTGTGTCTGTGTGTGTGTGTGTGTCTGTGTGTCTGTGTGTGTGTGTCTGTGTGTGTGTGTGTGTCCGTGTGTGTCTGTGTGTGTGTGTGTGTGTCTGTGTGTGTGTCTGTGTGTGTGTCTGTGTGTGTCTGTGTGTGTGTCTGTGTGTGTCTGTGTGTGTCTCTGTGTGTGTCTGTGTGTGTGTGTGTGTGTGTCTGTGTGTGTCTGTCTGTGTGTGTCTGTGTGTCTGTCTGTGTGTCTGTGTGTGTGTGTGTGTGTCTGTGTGTGTGTGTGTGTCTGTGTGTGTGTCTGTGTGTGTCTGTGTGTGTCTGTGTGTGTGTGTGTGCACGTCAGTCAGTCAGTCAGTCAGTCAGTCAGTGAGTCAGTCAGTGAGCAAGTGAGTGAGTGAATTAGTGAATTAGTTACATATAGCTAGTTAGCTAGCTAGTTATCTTGTTAGTTACCCAGTTAGCTTGTTTGCCATGGTATGGCTTCTAATTCTGCAACATAATCCATTGACAGCGTTGTGCTGTCGGCAAACTTGCTTTTCTGATATGGCATACTATGCGATGATACCTCTACACTACTAAATCTTGTATTCTCAGGCCTCCTTGGTGGCTGCCCCGCCCCGGGCGGCGCCCTTGCCGCAGGCATCGGAAGAGCGTGGTCCGGCTGAAAAGCTTTTTTTGGTTCTTGAACTTGGTGTTTTTTAGTGTCTGTTCGAAGGTGTTGGGTTTGCCTTCATCTGTCTCCCCGTATCGCAAATAAACTTCAGGCCATAATGTGCCACGGGTGCCCCTCCTCAATGTCTTCTGTGTGTTCCGTGCAGGTTCGTGTTTCGCGCAAGGGACCTGTTGGTAAGAGGGATGCTCCTCATGCCACTCTTTTTTAGTACCCTTTCAAAGTCATTGAATTTGACCTTTCAGAACCACACCCGAGCTATCACCCTATTCCCAATTAGCAAGAACCAGCAAGGATTGAATTCCACGTACCACGACTCCTTCGCGGCCACCTTGAACCTGTTGCCACTCGGAGCTGCATGGAGAACTGTGTTGACCTGGAATATGCAAAGCTGCAGGGCCTGAAGCCTCAGCATCTCAGTTCTACAACTAAAAAACAGGCTTATCCGAAGTTCCGTCTTATCGAGGTGTCTAGAGGCCTCGAGCCGCCGAAGCTTCGAAGTCGAAGTCCTTCGATCGAACGCCCAAAAGCCGGAGTCTCCTCGAATTCTGTGCGCGACTCTAAGGCAGGACTGGTGGACTGCCAAGGTTTACGATCGTTTTGTGGGCCGGACCCTGCACGAGATCAACTCGATGGCGGGGTTTTAGTCGGGTCTGTGGAGGAGGTTCATGATGCGGGTCCCGAGGCTCCCGGGGTCGGAACTTCAAGTTTCGTTTCAAAGTGTCCTCAATGGGACTTGTAGGAGGAGTATTGGGGAACTGGCACTTGAAGTGAAACAGCCCTGCTCAGCATTCTCATCTTATGGGCTGTAGCAAAATCACACGCTGCCCAAAGCCTTCCCGAACTCTGAAGCTGACGATGAAAGCTTCCGCGTGCAGGCCGGGATCTTCAGACCATTTTCCCAGGCCGCTCCGAGAGAAACATACCTAGACCCTCCATCTACCCTCTATTAGGCCCTAAGTGCCCCTTATTTGGGACCATATACCCCTATTTGAGGGTACAAGGAGGGTCCTGGTAGGCGCTTGGGGATTCGGTCGCAGGCCGTGAGACTCAACAGCAGACTTGCAGTAAGCCCTGACGGGCTGGTTTCCGATGTTCCTCCAAAGCCCCAGGCAAAGCGAAAGGAGTCCGATCCTTACTTCGGCCAGGGCCACGGCGAGCCTCCCGACCAAAATTTCTGGTACGTACGGGCATACCGCGCTACGGTAGGGGGGTCATCGTCCGGTCAGGAAGCACGTTCAGTACTTTTGCTGAGCAAATGATCATCTTCAAGCACATCAAGACAGGTTTGCGGGTATGTTTGCGATCTTTATCGCCAACATCAGAATTCTTAGTTTCTACATATCTCTGGAAGTATTCCATTAGCTACATGAGGGAAGCATCATACTAGGACCCAGCATGGAAAACCACCGACTCCCGCGACAGATCCACTGAGCATCTAGGTTTGCCTTGTACAGTCCGTCCGCAAGATACCTGACCTTCAGCTCCTGTGCTCGACAATCTGAAATATGTGTCCTGTTCAGAGTTTTTTGGGCTTCCGCAGCTCTCGGAGCTTCCGGTTCCAGTTGTCGACATGGTCCACATGCAAACCTCGTGCAGAAGTAAGTAGCCCGTGCTTTTTTCGGGGCAGCGTCGGCTAAGGTCCGTCCCATCCTTCCTGCAGCAGGCGCGTGCGCGGACGAAGGCAGTGAAAGGCCGATCCCTTGGAAGTAGGGGTTTGTGCGGAATATAGCCACCGCCACTACCGACACGTAACGGAACCAACGCACACAAAGACGAGGACGGGGTAGAGGACGACAAGAAGGGGCAGTCATCACGACAGCGACGAGCAAGACGGCATACCACAAAGGTCAGTCAATGCTGAAACCAAAGGTGGCCACAACAAGAGCAGCTTCTGAGGGACAACGGCAAGAGTGCAACTGTGGCACCAACAGCAACGACGACGACGACAAAGCCACCACGCCAGGACAGAAACTGCTGCTGCTAACACAACCGCCTAGAAAACCGCAGCAAAGACGACCGACACCTTCCGAGACATCAGCAACAACTCACACTTGTAGTGATGAGGGAAAGCTCTTGCCTTCGCCGTTGGTAACTACTATGTTGCCGAGCACCATTACGCGTGTCAACATCGTCCTCATCTTTCCTTCATGGCAGCACCACTATGAAGGATTCCTCACAGCCGTCAGATGTACAGCTACTATAGAATGAAGTCCTCTTCCTCGCATTTACTAGCAGCACCAGCAGCAGCATCATCATCATTTTCACTGCCATTATTTTTAACATTGGAAGCAGCATCCTCATCATCTCATTGGCGGGGCCTGAAGGAACCTTTTCAGCTTCCTGACACCGGACATTGGTCAGCAGCATCATCGTAATCATATCGCACTGGCCAACGATGCAAACTCGGCACAACTCTTGAACAATCATCACAGTGCTGCACGAGCTCGCAGAAGCTTTCACTCGTCCTGCTAGCGCGGGGGCGGTCATTACAACCGTTGCTTCTGCTGCGACTACTGCTGCTGCGACTGCTCCTGCCGCTGCCTGCTGCTATTGCTTGTAGTACTGCTGCTGCTGCGACTACTGCTGCTGCGACTGCTCCTGCCGCTGCCTGCTGCTATTGCTTGTAGTACTGCTGCTGCTGCCGCTACTGCTGCTGCTGCTACTACTACTACTACTACTACTACTACTACTACTACTACTACTACTACTACTACTACTAGTACTACTACTACTACAACTACTACTACCACTACTACTTCGACTACTATTTTTCCAACACCCGAATCTGAAAGGACGCCGACCTTTGCCCTCAGCCTGGGACTGGCGGAACGTTTCCGGTGTGAATTACCTTGACGAAGTCGCTCGGATGACAGGATGCGGGTTTGAGGTTCGTGAGTTGATAGCGGAATCGGAGGATCTTGTCACTTGCGCACTCCCTCAGCTCTCCTCGGCCCGATGCTGTGTCGTAGTGAGGCATGCCTTTGTCTTGAGTCGGATCATGCTTGTTTGTTTTGTGTTGTTGCCTTTGACGGCCTCTGCATCGGTCTCTTGTCCCAGGAAGGTCGTGTGAGCCTTATGACAACACAAGTCAGGCGAGGATAGTGGGGGCATTGTGCTTAAAGACCTGTATTTCCTCGTCCTCCTGTGTCACACCTTCTGCCCAAGACCCAAACCGAAGCAAGGTCATCGACCAAGGGACTTGTGGTTCCTGCTACATCGTCGCCACCACGCATATGCTCGCTGCGCATCATGGCACGGCAAAAACCGGCATGTTCATCTGCATGGTTAGCTTAATTTGTAGCTGCTCTATTCACTGTTCGTTAGCTTCTGAGCTAACCAGACAACACAACTGTTTGTTTATTAAGATGTGTTGTGTGTGCGTGCAAATTGTTGTATGGTTTGTCTGTGCGTGTGTGTGTGTGTTGTAATTTCGTTATGTGTTGGGTATGTATGTAAGTCCGTATGTATGTATGAATGTATGTATGCATGTCTGGTGCACGGTTGCATATTTAGCTGTGCATGAACACCCAGCAATTCTAAAGAGTCTTTGGATGTGGATTCAGGGGTCACACGGTGTTCTGTGCATATGTATATAAGACATGTATATAGGTTTGTATGGGTTGCGGTGTCGCATACAAGCACACCGACGCATACACATACATGCACGCCTAGACACATATACACATGCATACATGCATACCTACATTCATAGAGAGCCTACCTGCCTTGTCTACCTATTTGCATGCATGCATGCACATATGTATACACATACACACACACACTTAAACTTATTTAGACAGCCATCCATGTAGACACGCATATATGGTGTGTATACATACATACATACATAAAGAAAATAGCACCTTACTACACTGCAGAAATGTGTGTGTACTTATATATACGTGGCGTATACATACATATTCGATGACTGAGTCTACACGAGGGACAGCAAGCTGGAAAGGCACCGAGGCTGGCTGTAGTCCTATCTACCTGAAGCTTGCCCATTTCAAGAACCAAAGATACAGTGTCTCGTAGCGACATGGAGGAGATGCCGCTGTTGCGCGGGATGTTTACGGGAACTTAACACACCAAGAGTCCTACCCCGAAAACATCGGCCTGCGAGACAGTTCTGGAGGTTCGGCTAATGGGATCCATGAGCCTGTGGTCTCAAGTTTTACGCATGAAGACTTCCCATTCTTTGTAACCTGGCTTTCTCTGGATGGCACCGCAACAGACCCTTTCTGAAACCACCCGAACACCGCAGCAGTGGAACGGCCACCCAAGGAGATACCGCATCCAACACCAGGATCCCAGCTTTGATGGATTCTCGTTTAATTTCCCGCCTGTTGGACCGCATTTAGTTCCGTGTGTTGGGCACTGGGCTTTCAGGATTTGCGATTTGATTCGGAGATTTGTTGCACCTCGAAACTAGACATCAAGCATATGTCTGGGATTGAGACGGGGCGTTGGGCCACGTGCTCGTCTACACGTCTGATGTCAAGATTAGTTCCTGAGGCCCGGGGTTCATGTGAAGGAAAGAGGGCATGTGTGGCACGTCCAATATATGGCATCGGTTTGAACCGTGATGGTTTGTGTTGTGGTGCTGCTGTCTACTACCTATTCTACCGTTCGATCACTTGCGATTCTCTCGGCATTGTCGAGTTCGTGATGACGCCGCAAAAATGTGTGTCTTCCCAGGCTCTTCTGCTCCGAGTACAACCAGGGCTGCAATGGCGGCTATGCCTTTTTGGCCTCCAGATGGGCGCAGGAGCTTCCGGTACTGCATGCAAGGTCGCTGGACAGGGATGAACAGTTTTTGAGAGGAGGCATTCTTCCCACGTGTGTCAATGCAGTGTACTCTGCACTTTCAGTATGCCTGGCTGGTCCCAGAGCGTCGCCTTGATTCTCTTGCTCTCAAGATGCCTGGACCCATGCAGGACGTGGGCCTGGTGCCAAAGAACTGCAGCTTCTTGATTCCATTCGGCATGGTTTGATACCATTACCATGATACCCTTCTGTAAATATGCTACGGGTTTTACGTGTATAGTTGTGTTTGGTGGGGTCCGGGGCGTCTAGATCAGGCAAGATATGGCAAGATCAGGCGGTGACCCTCAGAAGCCTGCTTGGATGAATGTGCGCGCAGATCGCCTGCCCCCAATCCCCCTCCCTATGTGATTGAAGTTGAAGTGGGGCAGTTATACCCGAATCTCTCCTGGGGTGCACCATGCTCAGTAGCAAAGAGCCAAGCGCACATCCGAACATCTGGAAACCTACACACCACAAGCCGCCAGATCACTCCTGCAATATTCGAAAGCCTCATGTCAAATGCCGGCGTTATCCGTTCCGAGAATCAACTGCGATATGCCACTGGGATGCTACAATGGTAAGGCCACTACGATCCAGACAAGCTGTTGGGCAGCTGCGAACTGAAGTGTGATGTGGCCGCGCTGCAGAAGTGCCTCGAGCTCATGTTCTAAACTTGCACTGACGGTCCTTGGGTTCCCGTTCTGCCAGAGCATCCCCTTGTACGTCGAAGCAGCTTCAGAGGCTGCAATGCATGGAAGGGCGGCTTGATCTGCTGGGGGTCTCTGCTGACTGAACAAAGCCACAGTGTCCGTCGCAGCCCCGGTAGAATCCCCTGGTCAACTACAGTAGTCAGGACCTGGCGCGCGACCAATCACCACTATGCGGCTTGGACAGGAGGAGTGAAGAATCCTTGATTTGGTGAGCCTCATGCGCAGCTGTGAGACAGCGGAGGTGGCTTAGGCTGGATTTCGTTTTTTCACGACGTAGACGTGGACGCAGGTCACAGAGAACCCTGGCTTCCGAATTTGCCCGAGCTGAGCGTAGGGGTGCATTGCAGCTGTGGTTCTGCTCAGCATCCGAGGTTGGTGGCTACTACGGCGCAGCATCTGAGGAGGCCATGAAGCAGGCCGTACGCAGAAATGGCATACCAGCCCTGAAGGGCTTCAGCCTACGAATTACAATCCCGTATACGTGTCCCGATGCAGCCAAATCCCCGACTCGAAACCGAGATCTGCAACCATCGGGAATAGGTCAATAGGCACGGAAGCAGAACGAACCTCGAAGGAGCTCGTTGAACGAGGGCCTCTGGTGGTGTCCTTTGAGCCTCAGAGCCACCTGGACCATATAGCTCCATGGCCTCATGATGAGGTCTGAGGTACAGCGTCTCTCGTGGCCGCTTGCAAGAGTTTGCCAAACATGTCTTGTCTTGGCTGACCACATGACTCGGAGTTTGCCCCCTGCCGGACATCATACAACTTAAAACTTAAACCATGCTTTCCCGAAAGTGCTACGCACACGAGGTGACATCGTCTACTACACCGAGGGCATCTACACCAGTGCGCCTCACCAGCGTGCTGAGTGGGAGCCCGTCGACCACGCAGTGCCTTGGACCAGCTCTCCCCAAGTGGGAACATCTGGGGTTCTTGTGATGGTAGTGGAACAGAATTCAATCCGTTTGTTATTCGTGTTTTGGAACGGGTTGAGCGTTTCAATTCTGAGTGGGCCAGAGTCAGCAGTTTGGGGTCGACTTTCCAGGGCGCGAGGCTTGCATTCTGGTCTTGTGTATTCAACTGTTCGACTACATCGCGTGCTTGGGATTGTTCCAGAGCTGTCTGGACGTCGTGCTGAACATCAACATCTGTTTCTGTCCTGAGGGTGGGCTGCACGCAGGTTCTGAACTCGATCCGGCAGAAGCAAGATGTCACGTATCATGCACACAGCTTACACCATCCGCTTTGTATCCATGGCCCCGCAACGGACTACACTAATTCAGGCCTTTCGACCAAAGGCGTGTGCTCCTGCACGGCTGCAAGGCCGATGAATTCCAAGTTCCCTTGGAAACACTGAATTGAATTCGGAGCACTCAGGTACTGCTAGTCGGATACGGACTGGAAGCGGGTCGGAAATACTGGATCCTGCAGCTCCTTGGAAGGAACTCTTTGAGCAGTCATGGTTGGATTCTCTTGGCGATGATTTGAGCGCTTGAGAGCTTGGAGGCCTTGTCACCATGAATACAAGTACCTTCTTCTACGATGCAGGGGTTGCTCGTGCATTAGTGCTTTACTACTGTGAACTGGTATACTGCCAGCACGCTTTGGCATTTGAAGCCTACAGAGACTGGTCCTACGAGTATAGCCAGGTCCGCAACGAGATTATACTGTTCTGACCACAGAGTTGTGTTCCTTGTGCCGGTACATGGCTTCTCGTCACTCGATTTGGCTGCAGTGTTGTTGCTGGTACGACTACCCAGTGCTTAGATGTTGGCTGAGGAACTCCTGGGGCAAGGACTGGGGCGAAGGCGGCTACATCCGGATGCTTCGGGGAGAGGCGGGAAGTCGTTCTGAAGCCATTGTTGAGTTTGGAGGTTTGGACCTCGACTTTTTGTTTGCGAGGGGCCTTTTCGAGTCAAGTCGAACTGCTAGGGAAGCGGACGCTAGAGGACTCGGGGTTAAAGCCTGCATCCCTCGCGCAGGGCTTATGATGATGTGTCGTCACTAGCCTTGAAGCTCCACATCTTCTTCGACCAACCTGCAACGAAAACCACAGCAAATATGGGCGGCTGAACGGTCAGGACGAGAGTGGGGTCGAGTCGATCGTTGTCGGTGCAGATGTCGTCGAGGAGGCCATGCGGCAAACAGACGTGAAGTTCAGAGTGGACAGGGCAGGTCACTTGCAAAGGGTCTGTCAGCTGCAGGGACATGGTCAAGGTGTTTTAAAGGCCGTCGTGGCAAGCATCCTGGGGTCTCCAGGTTTCAGGGCTGCTCGAGTGATACGGTATGCTCACTTTGTAGACACACTTCGGGCAACTTTCTTCAATCTTGGACATACTCGATAGCTAGCAGCTAGCAGGCACATCGAGGTTTGCACGAAAGTCATGCTGTCCATGCATGTGTTTCGCAGGCTGCCCAGTTTCCAACAATAAAACGGTCAACCGGGTCCAGCATGCGATGTGGCCAAAGTAGAACAAGTAGAAGCTTGGAGTTGACGGAGCCTCTTAGTAACCTCTGAGCACCGAAAGCATCGCCGCTGCAGGCACAGCCCACCATGCTGCTGCAGTTGGCTTCCACACTTTCATAGATCCAGAACTCGGCCCTTCCGGGCTTGGTAAAGTAAAAGCCAGAAAGTTGGAATATGATTATCCTAAACCCTTTATGGTAAATTATAAGGTATCCTACCCTGAAACCATATTCCAAATTTCTGGAGTTCCCTTTAAAGGCCAGGAAGTCAGGCAGATCCGTTGCCCCGCTTCCCTCGCTTGAGCCGAGCAAGAGCTGCCGTTTGAGAGCGGGACGGAATGCAACAAGCTTGGAAATGGTAAGGCATGAACAAGCTGCATGCTGTCTTCTGGCTTCAGGAAAGTATATACCTCTTGTTGCCCAAGGGCCAAAAATTGAGTCAGCAGTAGATCAAGGTGCTACTACAGGGTCTGTCAGGCTGTCACACTGGATATATGCTATCGTGGTCTTCGATTCTTCGCTTTTCTTGACTCCAGCCGCGCTTGTGCGCGCGGGGAATGGCCATGGACCAGAGCCTCTTTCAGTTGTTCTTCACGAAAGCCTATCTACACTGAATCTACACATTGGTTCTCGCAAGCAAGGGTGTTGGCGACTGGGCCGACATGGGCACAAGCCGCCTCATGAGCCAGACCGCACTTGACTCAAAGCACTGTAATTGTGGCACCTGCAATAAACCATGCGGACCGTTCAGTCAGCACAGCCGAGCTATGCAGCCGACAGTAGCCGCCAGTAGCCTTATCTTTGATCTTTGGTCCGTGGCCGGGGACGGCAGGGAGCAGGGGCTCCTGAGCTTGGAATTAGACTCGTCTTTCTGTGGTGTTTTGCTTCGGGTGAGAGGACTCTTTCGTCCACAACTCGACAGCAGCCTTTCCATACTAGAACCAATTAAGATGGTGACATGCCAAAGGTGCAGATCCAGGAAAGTAAGTGTTGAATGACAACCCTCAGCTACGAACTACCCATATGCTGCAATGATGCCGCGGATGCCTCCAACGCACACACAAGAATGCACAACCTGCTGGGTTTGGTGAGATGAGTATATACGACTTTGCATGCAAAGAAACCAGCAGACTTAGTTTGGGTGTGTGAACCCGATATGCGGTCTGTCCCATGGGCATCTGGGACACCTTGCGGGCTTATGCAAACATCTTTGCAGCAGTACAGCATAGCTGTGAACGTGAGGAATGCTCCATGCCACGCAGATCGACGAGGCCTTCCGTCCTTCCTGCTCCGTTCGACTGAATCTCTGTCAAGTGTCTAGAAGAGCACCTCATGTATGTGGCCAGCCTCTCAAGTTCGAAACAGATCACTTGTTTCGAGACTGGGACCAGGGAACCGGATCTTAGGTGGCCGCAGCCCAAATAGCTCTGCGGGAGCACAAAGCCGCAGTGTGTCTTGCTTTCACGTGTTGGAATCCTGGCATAGGGCCCGTCTTCCCAACACAATGACTCACATCGCGATTCATGAATCTCCCTACACGGCGGACTGGAGGTGTAGAAAGCTCGTAGATTCCTTTCGAAGTCACGTCCTCGCAAAGCCGCGAAGCGGGCCTCGCACGCCTGGGAATAACCGCCCCCTGCACGCAGAGTTTGATGTTCATAGAACCTGACCAAGCTCAAATGCTACCGCAGCACTTTATCCGTCAACCCCGACAATGCATCGCCATTCGAGTGTTGTGAGAGGACTCTGATGGAGAGCGCAGCACCCCGCTCAGCAAAGACGGTGTTGTCGCTGAAGCCACGTGAGGCCCTTCAGGTTCAGGTTCTTCACGGCCTGGGCTTGACCTTGAGTTTCTTTGTGCGTTTCAGTGTTGGTTTCTTGGTTTGAGGTCTTGCAAACATGCAGCCAGTCTGGTTGCGGTTGCTGGAGCTCGAGCTTCGTCATTTCTTGAAATTGTTTTGAAGACGAACAGGTGCGAATTTGACTCTTGCGAAAATGCCCAACGGTTTGATGAAGCCAACATGGGTTTGGCTTTGGCCGCCTTTCGTCTGCAAGGCGATGGCCGCGAAGCCTTAGCAGAAGTCCTAAACCCCGTCTCCACTACGGTTGTCGATGCCAGTGAGATATTGCTACTAGTCATTGGCTTGTCGTCAGCCCAAGGAACCCCAAACTCAAAACGAGTTTGCATCCCAAGGTATCACAGCAACGGAAATAGAGGACTGCCGGCTTGCTTGCCTGCTGGGAGGTCTTGGCAGCTTGCTTTGTCTATCCTCGTGCAGCTTGTTGGTTTCCGGTGAGAGATGTCTGCCTCCGGAACTGGGTCCGGAAACCCTCAGCCTAGACGGAAGCTCCAGAAGCGAAGCCGAAGCCAAGACGAACGCACCAAAGAAGCTGCACACAGTTCGAGGAGGTGCCACCAGCAGAAGACGCCTTAGACAGGCCTGCGTAATCCGGCTTCTCAAGACTCTGGGTATCTTTGGGTTGTAGATTCAATTCAGACATAAGTTTTACTGGCTTCTCACGATATGTTGCACACCATCGGCTCCTGAGGCTTCTTTGGATTGTTTTAGAGGTGAAGTCCGTGGAGATTGATGCCGAAAAATGTAGGGTCACTTGCCAGCCTGCCACAACAGCCATCCTCGCTCTGATGAGTGGTGGTTTAGGGCCACCTACGGGTGTTCAGTAGTAGCACTTTACGGCAGGGACATCTGTGTACACGTTCGTATCATGTCTGCTTGCTTTAGGGCCCTGTGCCTGGAAATGGGAGGCTTTCGGACCTGCCCGGTTTGAAGAGTCCAGTGATATAACCGTCGGAACGCAGAGGACACGCAGGATGCCCCGAACCGGCCCATGTCGACTCCCAAATCCTGGAAGCGACTGCCATAGCCGATACCGGCAGGCCGGCCGCTGCTGAGACACTTCCCGAGAGATGCGATGAGGCGCCATTTCTGAGCGCACAATGGAAGGCTCGAGGGATACTAGGTTCTTTTCACATGGATGCTTGAAGCTCAGAAGCTGCTGGTTGGTGAAGTCGGCAGCACCGAGCTGTAGAAGCTTTGAGAATCCACTGGAGCAAGGTGTCCGTCTACTAACAAAGGTTCGTGAACGGAGCTGTGCCTACGGTGTCCGGGCACAGACGAGACGAAAACCCTTTCGAGCGCTTCGTGAAGCGCGGAATTCCATTTCTCGACACACGCTCGAGTCAGGTCCTTGCGACTTTGCCCTACCTGCCGCCGGAGCCACCTGACCAGGCGACTGTGTGAGACCTTCAGACATACACGGTGCCCGGTGTTCAGCACACCGACCGCTTCAATGTTTCTCCTCAAATTATTGTTGGGTTCTCACATGGTCTGCTTCGCTCATTCCTTTGGCTCGAGCTTTTAGCTGTTTGATGTTGCAGCCTTCCGAATTGTATCTTCACACTGCAAAGGAACGGACACAGCTGCCATCGCGCAAAGGCTCCTCAGTACTGCACGTCTACACACACTATACTGTATCACTCATTTCTTTCATAGAGGTTTGACGCTTTCGCTTACACACCCGAGCCTACCCACATCCCGAAAACACACAGCAGAACAGGGGAAGTTCGGCTTCGAACCAATACCCTGCATGTCGAGGCGTCGCACCCCGCCCAGCACATACACGTAAAGCCGGTATCCCGAGGCACCTGCAATCGCGTTACTGCGAATGGTGATGTGTGTTTTAGGATCCTGTCTGCGCTGCCATGCTCCGCCACCTTCGGCAGAGACGGCGCACCAACCCCGGCTAGCAGGGCAGCGACGCTGGTGATCGCAGTATGATGACGATGCTGCTGATGGTGATGGTTAAGTAGACACGCTCCTCTATGCTGCAATGTTAAGTCAACTGCCCGACGAACTGAAAGTTCCTGATATGTGGTGGCTGAAGAGGCCCAAACCCCACTCGGACCTACGATACCACATCTTCAAACATTGAGAGGCACGACTTCCTCGAAACGCTACCACGATGGTCACTGCTGTTGCGCTGCTCCGACAGCTGTGGCTGTTGTTTCTGCTGCTGTTGTCTCCACGACATGACTCGTTTTGCTAGTGCAGATCGCTTCTTTGCCATGGCATTGCTGCTGAGGCCGGGATGCTAGCCAAGTCTTCTGCTGCTTCCTCGCCAGGGAAGCAAGGCAGGTCACGTGCCTGTGAACTTCTGTGCAGTTCTTGTGAACTTGCGGATCGTCGGCTCCTTGAACCAACTGACGGCTCTGTTCACCTTAGGAGGGTTCGACCACGGCTGATGCTTCGCTTTGTAACTTCGAGTTCGTGATCAAGGATGAATCTATTGGATCTGTTTATGTCCACTGAGTCGCGGGCGGTCCTTTGTTTAGGACCTTCGGCTTGCTGTTCCTGAAATTCTTCTCTTGGAGTCGTGGGTTTGAAAACCATGATGAAGATCTGTTCGAGTGTTAGCAAAGACCCTATTTATGGCGGCTGCCTGCTGAAGCTACAAAATCGAAACCTTCCACCACACCTTCTTCATAAGGCTCAGCACAGACAAACAATCAAGAATCCGAGAACACTGCTACCAGGACCCTCCTTGTACCCTCAAATAGGGGTATATGGTCCCAAATAAGGGCCATTTAGGGTCTAATAGAGGGTAGATGGAGGTTCTAGGTAAGCTTCATCTCACCAGCGACTTGGACAGGTAGCTATGCCCAGATGCGGGCCAACCGGGAGGCTCCTTGATTGGGCCTTCGGTGGATGATCCTAGCTACGAGCCCTCTCCGCTACCCGGCCAGCTTTCACCATGACACCCAGAAAGTATAAGTAAATTAAACCAAAGCCCAAATCCTAACATGCTACTTATGACAGCCAGGCCACGAAGTTGAATGTTTGATCCTGCGACTAGACTTCTTGCTACGAAGTCCATCCATTGTCTGAGTCTCACATGGCGTGACATGAAGAGATGGTACTGTTTCGTTGCTACTGCATAGGGTGCTTTGCAGGCGCTGCAGCCCTCTGCGCATGCCGGGTATCGACCACCGGAGGCTGCTGGTCAGGGCGAATTATTTTGATGTAAATGCGCCATCCTGGCTGGTGGGATAGACGCAAGGGCCATCACGGCTGGCCAACAGGCCCGTGTAGTAGGCGCTGAAGCGCGGCTGCGCTTGCGCAAGTGTTGTGGTTGCATCCTCCATTTGCAGGAGATACAAAAAGTTTCTAAAAAACCTAGCCCTAAACCCGAAAAGGCGAGGAAAAAAGGCAGAACCAAAATCCTAAACCCTAAGGGCGGGGAAGGCGAGGGGAGACAAGGAGAAAACCTAATCCTTCACGGCCGAAGTGGCGCGGAAAATTGCGATGCCGAGCTTACCTGCAGCGATCGCACACTGAGCTCGCTGAGCCTCTGTGCGTGCCGCCTGATAAGTGATCCAGCGAAGTTGTGAGCGCGGCTGTGAGGCACCTCATGGCGTCATTGCGAGCTCAAGCAATACGGCGGGGTTTGTCCATTCGTCAACAAGCACCACTGACCGGCATAAGAAGTTTAACAGAGCTCCGTGTGGCACAAGAGTTGCTCTCGTGCTTTCGGCGCGAGCTGGAGCTTTGGATTTATGCAGCAGCAGTGCCATAGTCTTGGCGGCTCTAGCAAAAGCCAGGGACCTGCTGTCGCTCCCAGATTCCCTTTTAACCCCCGAGAACTGGCTGTTTGGAAGGATGGTCGGCGGCGTGGCCATGCCGATTTTGCCGACGCAGGGCCCCTACTGGAGTTGCAGGGGTCTTCAGGTTAAGCTTAAGTTTCAAGAACGGGTTCTGAGTGTTTGAGTGAAGGAAAGTTCTGGATGCCGTGTTTATGAGGCTCATGCTTCATTCTGTGTCTGTGTTTTGCTGTTTTTGTCGTCGCTTGTCCGCCAGCCACTGATGCGGCGAGGCAGCATGCGCAAGACACCCGGTTCTGAAATCACACACAAGCGCAGTAACCTTCCCAACCGAAACTCGAAGCGACTGCTGACCACGCAAGCCCTTCCCCTGAGACACCGAACCAAAAGCCCTGGAAATCAAAGGTTACCCTTGGTTCCAAGTCTCAGTTCTCGGCTCCAAGGCAGTCGCCAGGCCACCGAGAGCTGCGGCCTCGGCGCGGAGCGTTTTGGTCACGGGATTCACGAGTATTCTTTCCCGCATGGCACTTTGATTTCATGGTTTCATTGAGAAAAGGGTGTGAGCCTCATTGCGACATTAGCGAAGTCGACAGTCTCGTTCTGAAACCCGGGAGCCTGAAGAGGCTTTCCCATGGGCCTCAGGGGCTCACAGTGTTACAGGCTACAGGCCAAAAAATGGGCAAAGCATCTGGCAAGTATCTCTGAAGCGCCTCGGAGCTCCCAGGCCGACTTCGACGCACTGGGCCAGAACCGCATCTCCAACCGACCCCGCTCCGCATCCCCGCGGCGAGGCGCCGCAAGGGATTTTCAATTCAATTTCGAGCCGTGTGGGGAGCTGTGAACAAGATTCAGGCAGCTTCAATGCCTCGATTGTGCCTGCACTCCAGCAGGTCCGCCGCAGAGGCGCGAATCTACGAAGGAGCCGGCGCAGGAGGGGCAGCTGGGAGGCATCTGTAGAGAAAGGTATGTTGTTGTTAAATGAGTTTGGTGATGTGTTCGCGGATGTGGACTCACGAGGCTGGATTCAGAGTTGTACCTGTGCTTGGATTTACTTAAAAGCCACTTTCCCCAAGCCCATGTTTCGAACTCTGCATTTCTGGCTCCTGGAGTCTTTGAGCCCTTGGCTGGTTTTTCTGTTCGGGATGCTTCAGGGCCTTCGAACCCTCGTGATCCCCAGCTGCCAGGATGAGATCATCGAAGAGTTCTTGGAAGGCTTGCTGGAGGGCTTCCGCAGGGCCGGCCTGGTTGTGCTCAGGCTGTCGGCAGAATCCCGATGTCCTGAATTCCCTAGAGAAGATATATTGTCATGCGAGTGCATGCCTCGGAGCAGTCCAGCCACATCCTGTGAGAAGTGGTGCCAGATCTCACAAGACAGGGTCCCGCCGAACATCCACAACAGGGCCGACCGCACAGCCCCCAGCTCTGACAGCCAGGCATGGCCGGCGTCGGCGGTCGTCCAAGCGAACCCGAGCCTCCGAGCCTGGAGGCACAAGTCAAGCCTTCGGGTGGGAGGTCTATAGGCCAGGCCCAGGGCACGACAATGGAACCCTCATCCAGTTCGCCGGCCTTGAGACATCCTTCTGAGCCATTGGATTCCCAGTTTCAGCTTCCGGACAGCTCCTGGTGTCAAGGTGACTGGACCCCTGAGGTTTTTGAATCGATGCCAAGGTCTCGAATCGATTGCACATGAAACAAAACAGTCCCATCATATGGATTATTATTAATATTTTATTATTGTTATTATTACTACTATTATTATTATCATTATTATTATATAATATTATCATTATTATTATTATTATGCTCTGCAAGCGTTTCTCTCAATCACAGGAGCGAGTGGGCAACTGGCAAGACCTGGACGATGTGCCGAAGGCTGCGCGCCCCAGAACTACACAGCCAAAGACCTGATACCCGACAGCCTGAAAATCACAAAAGCACCCATCTCGCGTCATCTTGCAACAAGAACTATAGCTGGAACAAGCGCCGTCAAGTTCTATTGAGCACCTCTTCACTTGGACCTCTTTGTGTCCCTGTTTAGCATTGAGGCAGCTGCGGAGCGTGCCCTCTCGCCAAAGCTGCAGGGCATGCTGTCACTTGGCACAAAACGAACCATGTCGCTTTCGCAACGGCACTTACATTCGAGGGTTTGCCTGGGGAAAACATGGAGATCAGAACACATCGGGCTCGGACGTCGCAAGCTTCTCAGATGCCTCCCCACTTCGGCATGTCGGTATACAGAGCGGCTGTGGGAACATCCGTTTCAGACAGCTTGATCAGTCACGAGACTGAGCCGTTCGCAGCCTCCGAGGTCTCAGCGGCCGCCAAGCCCGAGCCCGCTGAGCCCGCAGCCAGCAAGCCCTCCTCGTTCACGTTTCGAGGACGAGCTTGCAGAGGCACTCTGCCCCTTCGAAGAATCCCGAAAGTAGAGAGGTTCTGTCAGTTGCACATGTTCTTCATAAAGGCATAGAATCGATATAATGTTACGAGCATAGTTATAGCAGGGCATGATCACCGACATCCCTGCAAAGCACTCCGCTGCACCGTGAGTGCGATCTTGCGGGATTTTGGGCATGGTGTGAAGTGCTCCTCGCTCTGCTGTGGTGGAGTGCAGTCATACTAACATTAACATTATCATTATCATTATCATTATCATTATCAATATCAATATCAATATTATTATTATTATTATTATTATTATTATTATTATTCTTGTTATTATACTATTTTTATTATTATTATTATTATTATTATTATTATTATTATTATTATTATTATTATCATTATTTTCATTATTTTCATTATCATTATTATTATCATTATTATTATTATTCCTATTATTATTATTATTGTTATTGTTATTGTTATTGCGTTGTTTCGACATGTAGAAGCCGGCCAGCTGCTGGGGCCAAGAGGAGCTTGGGTTGAAGTGACTGGGGCGGTGTCCCCAGTGGCAGAGAGCATTTTCTTTGTTTAGTGTCGATGCCTTAGGAGCTGCCCCCACCCTGTAATTCTAATCGATGCCTGTTGTAGCACTCAACAGACTACCAATCGGTGGAAGTAGGACCCCTAAGCTCCTTGAAGCAAGCAGCACAGCCTGTTGAGTATGGCAGTTCCGCTGGGTTTTGAGATAGACAACTTTATGCTTTTGTCGATGCTTCATGCATCTGGAAAGTCCTTAGGTTCAGAATCGTCCCCCACACAGAAAAATTGATCGCACCCGAGAGGCTACGGCCGAAGCTGCTATGCCCTCAGTATCCACTACGCTGCGAAGGCATGCGTTGAAGGCATGGGCACGGAAGCTACATGTTTTGAAGCTGCTGTAGCCCCAGATTGACACAATAACTACACTCTGGAGAGCCGGAACGAATGGATTTGCAGCGAAACCTTGGGAAACTCATTGAGATGCTGGCAGGCGTTCTTGGACGAGACTTGCGGCACCGTCGCCAACTCGTTTGATGTGATGGCAGGCTCCAAATTCCAAGACACCTCAACCTCCGATGCAGTGCCTGAGTACCGATCGATGCCGCGAGCCACGCCGAATCCCGGAAGCGTGACATCTCCGGTGCGATCAGCGCTCTGCCAGGCCTGGCGCTGAAGTCCTCCATCGGTGGCTCGGGCACACCAGAGGCCGGCGGGATCCGGCCACTTTTGGCAATCGGGGGTCTTATAGGGGGCCTAGGGGGCCGAGGCTGGATGCTTTAAAGGGGCGTCGAGAGTTACAAGGCGCTGTGAGGGCTTTGACACTGAAGGCCTCCACCGCTGACCCAATCGCACGCCTCCATAGTCACTGTGCTACACTTGAGAACACCGAGCACCACCTCGATCCACAAAGAAAAAGGCGGCCACATGTGACAGCAGAGCACCCTCGACGGCACCCCCTGGAGCACGTGGCAGGATCGCCTGAGGTTCATGTTCAGTGAGCAGGACTCCGGATCCGGAGAGTTTCTCAGGGACAGCCGATGCGTGCTGAGCTCGGGTTTCTGATTCGTTAGGACTTCGCGGGGGCGTGTCGATACCTTGGTGTAGGTTTGTTCGGAGGGTTCCGTGTGGGGACCCTTTCAGCGCAGGACTTCAGAATCGCTCTGACCGGACTGGGCTACGGCGTGGGAGTCAAAGATGCCCCTTGCCTGAAAGTAGACGCAGCCTTCGTCTCGAATCTGGGACTTTCGGTCATCGTGGTTGGCAATGGTTCACTCAGCTCGGCCGAGATCAAGAAAAGGTTGAGTCTCCGCCGTGTATGTTGTGCTCTTGGAGAAGCTCACGTCCTAAAGCTGAAATGTAGAATTCCAGGTTCCCACAGTCTGGTATGCAAAATCCAAATCGGCATGGTTTTGCTCAGCTTATCTGGGCCATCCATCTGCCTTGTTGGGTTCATGGGCTCCGGTTTCCGAAGTTTCAGTCTCGGATGCAGCACCAGCGTCTTGGACATGCTGGCAGTTAAGCCCGAGCTCCCAAACCGAAGCCCCGTCTCTCGCGCCCTTGCGAGGTGTGGTGGTCAGAGCTCTTTGCCGCAATGGACGTGGTGCCTCGGAGCAAGGGAGGTGGTCGAGTTCCGGAAACTAGGACCTAGAGTGAGTAGGCCCTTATTCCCTTTTTCTAGGGTTCAGGTTCCCTTATAACTCCCTTTAAACCAAAAAGGGCACCCTTTTTATGCCTAGGTTACTCTTAGGTCTAGAGAAGCTACATTGACTCTGAGCTCTGAACGTTGAGGGAGGGGAGGGAGGGGGAGGGTGGGGGGTGAGCGAGGTTGGGTTCGCTGCTAGGCTGCAAATGTGCATGGATCAGGTAGCCACTGTTGCAAGGTGAAGTCAAACACATCGGGTATGCAGATTCATCTAGTATATTTATGTAAGTATGCATGCGTGGATGCATGGATGGATGCATGGATGCACGGATGCGATGTATGGACGGACGGACGGATGCATGAATGGAGGTATGTATCCATTTGTACGTACCCATTTGTGCCTTGAGATTTGTGAGCAGGCCTTGTTTCCGGGACTGAGAGGTTTTGCGGCAACCTCGGCCAAGCACGTAGTGCCACGGTTCAAAGCCCATGTTGCTTTATTACTCTGAGTCCCAATCACACTCCTCCGCATCAGGACGGTGATGGCGCCGTGTCATTGCAGGCCGGATGTGTTGCGATGTTTGTTGTGTGTGCGTGTAAGAGGCACAGCACTCTCGTTCCGTTTCTGGCTGTCGGAGAGCAGTTGCGACGTCAGTGTTGGGGATTGTGGTGAGAGCGCAGGCATCACATTACAGTTAAAGGATTGAGACCAATTTCGGTTCAGCACTCTTCAGCAGTGAGGGGGTTGGGGTTGAGCATCAAGGCGCACATGGATCGCGTGAATGCCCTTGGCAACAGGACATGTTCGACGGTCTGGTGCTTGCGCTGCCACCGCTTCCAGGCGACGTGGGGGTGGAACCTGGGGACGCTCGGTGGCCTTGGAAGACACCTTCGACCACAGACATTCCCACCTCGGACTAGCCGCTGGCATTGTCAATCTTGCAGCGCTCGCGGCCACAGCGGCAGCAAACATTAGCAAAGAGTGGGGCAAGCAGGTACCGTGAGTGACCGTATTATACCGCAATACCCTTTCTTTGCGGATAGCAGCTGCCGAGAGTCGCACCAGCCTGTCTTCGAGTTGAAGATGGCTTCCGGAAGCCAAGCCTTAATTGCTTCAGACCATTCCCGCCCCCGATCCCACTGGTGTGGTATCAGCCCCGTATAGGCCCAAGCTTTGCCGAACACCTTTTCTTTGTGGCGGGGTTGGGATGGCAGCATGATAGTCCTTGAAGCAGAGAGAGATTGACTGAACATGAACCCTAGCAACACCAACGCAGTAGCAGCAGCCAATTACACCAGCCCATGCCACGAACACGAGCCACGTCATGATTGCAGGCAAGAGCGGGTATACTCAAAGGAACGGATGTGGGACGAAGCATCGGAAGACTACAAAGAGGAACGCGAAGATCTCGCGCTTCTCATCCATCAAGGTCATTTTCGCAGAGTCTTCGCCCGAAACGTGGCGAAGGAAGTCTCTGGGCCCATAAGGCACAAAATCTTTCTGGAGATTCAGGAGTACTGTTGACTTGGGGAAGTCGGGGTTGTTACCAGTAGTGTTTGAGGCACGTCCTGTCTTGAGCATTGTGGCTTCAGTCATGTCACGGCCTTTGAAGTTGTAGGCTTCGAGTGCGTGCTGCCAGAAGCAAGGATCGCTGGGGCATTGTTCGGGAAGGGTTCATGCAGGATTGAAGACAATGGAACTCTGTGTTGTCTGGGCTGGAAATCCGAAACCTGTTAGCTTGCGGGTACACGACGGCAGGCTGTTGACAGCCAAAGCTTCACGTCTCAGGTTTTCTGCGCAATGCGACAGTCCTGTAATGGCATGACGGTAGTTCCAGCACAATAGAATCGAACTCATGGAGCCCTTGACTTTCTGAGCACAAGAAGGGTTTACTGTTGGCTGCTTAGTCGTCTCTAACGAAAAGCCACGGACTATCGGTCATGAAGCCTCGACCGTGGTCAAAGTCTCGATGCTGGAATCAGTGCGCACTGACTTAGACGTGCTTGAACCCCCCCACCCTGTTTCTGCAGCCCGCAATCCCAAGCCCTCCTTCATGAAGCCATCGTCCTCATCGAACCTTCAATACCTGCAAATCCTCAAGCTCAGCACGTGAAGCCTAAAACCTGCCGCAAGGTTGGTGACGCTCGTTAGCATGGTGCTGGTGAGTCCGAAGTCCAACGGGGGATGGGTTCCGGATGGGTATCACAGGTAGGGCAGGAAAGGAAGCTCACCTTTCATGTCGGACAGCTCTGAAACTCAGAACAACTCCGTGGTCCTTATTCGAGAAGGGCCCTTCAATTGCACTCCGTGTCTGCAGACACTTCGGTTCCTCCTCGAGCATTCTGTTGCCCACACGTACAGGTAAACATTAGGGCCATTAAGGTTGCCAGCAGACGTGACAAAGACTGCTTCAACTTCTATGTGCTTCCTGGTTTTAAGCTAGCTCGGTTTTGCTCAGAGTGCATGTATGGACTTTCCTTTGTGCAGAGACGGACGCCTTCCAGCGGCACTGTGCACTGCTAATGTTCGGCCCGCGAAAGGCATGGGCCTGGGCACCTGTCGGGCGGGTGTCTGCTTGTTATGAGCAAGCCCTCCAACCCAGCAAACTCAACCCATTGAGCCCATAAGAGTCTACTGATAGTGAAACCGCGGATTTCGCTGGCACTTAGCCGGCAGACACCGACCTGACTTGATAATGTGAAGTTCAGGACACGAAAAGGCTGTGCTTGTTGGCTGTAGGCAACGAGGTTCCAAGGGGTGGGGGTTCGGGTGCAGCTCCTCAGTACTTAAAGGATCATGGGACTTAGTAACTAGGGTTATAATTAGGGTAACTTTACTTATAACCCCAATTAAGGTACTTATAACCTTACTTACTAAGTCCCATGATCCTCCCATTATACCTTTAAGGAACCCTATTATAGAACCCTGTAGTACCCTAAAAAGGGACCCTAAACCTTACTTACTAAGTCCCATGATCCTCCAAGTAGCCAAGGCTTCAGGGCTTGGGCCGCTGCCCTGGGCACAGGGCTCTTGGGAAGCGGCGCGAGTAATAGTAATAATAGTAATAATACGAATAATAGTAATAATAGTTATAATAGTTATAATACTGACCCAAAAGATGCAAACAACAAAAGTAACAGATTGAAGCGCGCTTGGCGCCTGCCGAGTTTACGACTTTGGGGGGTTCACAGGTCAATAAGTATGGTGTTGGCGGGAATTGTGTGATGTAGGTTTCAGGCAGCAGGTACTGGCGGTTCAGGATTTAGTGATTCTTGCATGTTCGACTTTATAGAGTTTTACAAGGCTCGGAGGTTCACGAGAGGTGCGTGCTCTGCATCTTCACGAGCAGCAGCAGCTCGAGCACAACGAGCAGCAAGCATGGGTTGAACTCCGTGCGTGGAGCCCGCAACGGACCCGAAACCCAGCGATGAACCAGGCGGAGTCCCAAGGCTTCGACCTGGAGAGGGCCCTGTCCCAGGCAGCGTTATGTCAGAGTTGCAAGGAGTTGGATTTTGCTTTATGCAAGGTCTCCTGTCCGTTTGCCATGGCTACTGTGTGTCGACTTTCTGAGGCTAAGAGCCTTGACAATGCTCCATTCGCATCAATGAGTCTCGGGCAGGTCATTCTGGAGGAGTATCCCGAGGACATCGGCATAAGCAGGCCAGATAGGCAGGTTGACATAAGCTTACGAGCCCTGACGATGCACTCTCATCGATTGAGATGGCAGACATATTAAATGCAGGTGCCAGTTTACAACGCGGCAGTCAGTCTACATGCATTTTCATTTATGTATATGCATCCTTCCGAAGAGCATTGCGAAGCTCCGACTGCAGATGCCAGTGTGCTGACCTTAGTGCCCCGACTTCGCAGGTCCCGCTGCCAAGAACTTGTAAACGCTACGAGCTAAAACCGAATAGACTTGTATACTACCAAACCGGCCCCTTCGGGAGCCGGAGCTGGAAAGGAGCCCCTGGGCCGGCTGGAGCCACTCCGAGCCACGAGGCCAAGAAGCTTAGTGCTCGGATATTGAGTTGGCATGGCATGAGAGTCAAAAGCGAGAGCTTGTTGGTTGCTGTACTGAACCTTGGTGTGTTGCCTCGTGTCGTGTTGTCTTGTTGTTTGGCGTGAGTTACACATGTATGCTGTTGAATGTCCTGGATCTGCTGTAGATAACGCTGTCGATGCTAGTAAAGCATGGAATTCAAGGCACGTGCCGTTGTTTCATTTCTTGCGAGGGCTTCTTTAGGAATATCAGTTCCCAGCTCTTGCAGAGGACTTTTCATGTCCAGTAGCAACTATCGCAAAGCACCGGATGCTGAGAAGTAGCCCCACTTCCCACCTCAAGAAGCCGGAGCATAGAGCCGGTCTTGAGGGGAGTCGGCCACCAGCAAAGTGAACACGGAATTGAAGAAAACCTTAGACACGGTAGTCGAGTTGGGGGGCTGCTTTGCGAGAGCTCTGGGCCAGGCCTGCTGCGGAAGCACCGCTCACGCTGACACCTGGCACGATCGGATGTTGGGTTGCAGGGTCGGGCTCTGGAGTCCGTGCTGGAGGGTCTGATGTTGCGATAAACTTTTCGAGCCATTGCACAGCTCCATGCTGCGCTGAGGCAGGCAGACTCAACAGCTGAAGCGGCCTCTCTTTAGATTCGCCAAACAAGCGCCCTTCCTAACGGAGCTCTTGGTGCTCTAGGCGAATGAGGGTTTCAACAGAATTCCAAGGATTGCACCCAACCAAATCTTCAGACAGCCTCGATCACGACAATCCGAAGCTGAATATGCATTGCAATGCTAAGAACATTTCAAGGCCAAGTGGGTTCTTGTAGCACTTGTTAAGCAAGCTGTAAGCTTGTTTTTACACGGGCCCTGCTCGCCAAAAAGGAAATCATTGTGGCAAAGATCTCGTCGAGCACGTCCCGAGAGCCCTGCGTGATGTGAAGTCTCTACTGTACATGCTTTTAGTGCCACCGCCCCCTCGCGCCACCAAGCACCATTCCACAAGGACGGTAGCACCGTGTGCCCGAGCCGGTCGGAGCATGCCAGGATTCTCAGAATACGGCCTGGTGGTTTGGCGGTTGGCGACATTTAAGTAAAATCTACGACTGGCACCTCAGATGCAGAGCATCTTCAGCAATCCATATGGGTCTTGAGAGCGGGTGCGGAAGACATCACAAGCGGTGTAGCAGTTCATTGAGCGTAGGACTAAAATGAGACATCTCATCTGCACATAGGCCCTCACCCACCCACAAATTTGCAGAGCGGATGCTGATCGCTGAGGCATGAACAAACAAAGCCTAAGACACAAGACCATCAACAGATCATGCTCTGGAACAATGCTGTCGAAAAATGCTGAACCGCCAGATCAAGATTCTGTCACGCAGACTCGGCGTGCTTCCGAAGGCATGTTGAATCATGATCAGACACATGTTCGTTGGTTCGTTTTTGTGTTACATTTGTAAGGACTCTACTGTGCAAGCCCCCTTCGGCCAGAATACCACACAGCCTCTTCCTAAACTCAAGCATTTCTAAGCATTTATATTGTCCAGGCAGAGAGCCCAAGCACGTGAACCAATCTGACCAGTACGGCTTGCGCAGCCCAGTTGCCAATCTGCACACCTCGAGCCCCCATTTGCAAGTGCTAAATCCCAAAACCACGTTTCTTTTGTGTATGCTTGTTCTCTTTTGCTCTCCAACAGATGCACATCGATGCAAAAGGTAGATGACAACACATATGAACAACCAAAAAACATGTACATATATATATATATACATATATATATATAATATAGAGAGAGACAGATATAGATATAGATATTATAGCTATAAATATATGTAGGCATAAA